TTTTTTTTTTGTGTCTGTTACCACTTTTTCTCAGCTCTCACCGAACCGATTTCTTTCAATGATACGTCAAAAGATCACAAATCGTATCTAGTCGAAGACATTACCGTCAAAAATTGAAAAAAATTCCCTCGTTCCCCGTAAATGGGGGAAACCTCCAAAAAAATTACAAATTTAAAAATGGCTAATTTTCGAAATTTTTTCAATTTTTTTTACTAAAAACTGCCGTAACTTTTTTAAAAATAAACATATCAATATAATTCTTTTTTTTGTAGATGCATGATGTCTTTACCTATCATTTGGTATATTTTTTTTATAAATCTGACTTTTTACCTGCCTACAGGGGGGGATCAAAATGACAACTTTATCACAAAAAATTTACTTTTTCAACTTAACTTTTGAAAGTGTTCCGGAAGGTCTGAAACTTTTATATATATCTTAAATTAAAGCTAATGTAATCTACTTTATTATGTAAAAAAAAAATTTCGGACTTTATTTTGTCTTCACGGTGAAAATGGCTACCAAATGCTATCATTGTGTGAAAATTCTCAATTTTATTTTTTACATTTTTAACTTTATAATGCTAAAACTTATTGAAAAGTGTATTGATCAATATATTTTTTTTATGGGAAATACTACTTTTTAATAATCCTTTTTTCATTCAACATACTTTATCTTAATCAGGATATTAATAAGGAACTAGCAGTTTATGAAGCTTTTGGATTAATCCACCAATTTTTTAAAATTAAACACTATCTAAAGATTTGCATCGAAGCGTTTTTTTTTTTATAGTGATTTTAATCACTGTCAGATATCATTATACTTGATCCAACTATGCCATGTCACCACTGTGCCGCGACCCCCCTGTGCTGGGTTTTTTACCAATTATTTTATCTACAACTCTAATAATGTCCATCTTCATGCTATGCCAGATTTTTCTCCTATACCAAGTTCATCTAAATTTCTTTTGAATTATTCTGTTATATTTTAGTCTTTTAGTTTTCGATTTTTTTCTTATTTGTTACATTAGTTCTTTTCTTAAATTTGATGTTGCATTGTGCCTTGATACAATATCATTGTATCATTGAATAACATAGATATGATTATATTTTACAATTTATGAATATAATTATTTATTAGTTGTTCTTAATAAAAAGTATATCATTGTTTTCATTTAATTAACTTTAATAAAAGTACTATATTATTTTTTAAAAACGTGTCATTTTTTTAATTAGTGATTATTTTTGTCTCATACTCATAGTTCACATATTTATATAAATTTTATAACATTAATATCAATATTTAATAACTATAAATAATTTTTGTTTTTTTAATGAAAGATTTATCATAAAGAGATTAATATCAAAGCAATATTTCAATCATTTTTGCCATTTTTATTAAAAATGAACATCACTCAATANAAAGAGATTAATATCAAAGCAATATTTCAATAATTTTTGCCATTTTTATTAAAAATGAACATTACTCAATATGCTTTATGAATTATTAGTAATCTATTATATTATTTTCATAGAAGAAGAAAATTTAGAAGATATATTACTGGAAATTCCAAATGAGTTTTTACCCATCAACATGTACCTTTAAATTCTTTTTTACATATGTATGTTATCATAATTTAAAATAATTGTTAAATGTATGAAATAAAATATATTTTCAATTTTTATGAATTTTTATTATAAGTGTTGTTTAGTAATTTTTCATTAATACTGATGATGATTTTAATATTTTGAAATTATATTAGTTGTTTAAAAAAATTAAATAACGTAAGTTAAAAAAAAATGATTGTTTGAAATTATTTTGAAATGACCAAAAAAAAAAAATTATTTTTAGTTTTATCAGGATTTAACAATGGATTTTTACAATTATATCAAATTTTATTATACGCTTAATTAAGTAGATTTTTTTATTGGTTTTTTAATTATAGTAAATCTATAAGATTAATAAAGTTATGAATATTTCAACTGTAAAATCTTTTTAAACACCAAAGTTACTTAGAAATGATTACTATGATTTCTATTCTAGTGTTCTATTACGATTGAATTGCAAAAAAATATTAGGCTTTTCTAATAAATTAACTGTAAATAGTAATTATAAAATTTTCTATTTAATGACGTTAATTTCAAACCTACAAGTTGAGTTAAAAGTCATGGTAACAGTTCAATTTTTTTTATTAAAAAATTTCACAAAAATCAACTTTAAAGGATCAAAAATAATTGATATTTTGCAATCCTTATTTTTAACATATTAAAAATCAAAATCAGTTATAAATTAATACAATTTTCATAAGTAAATACTTATTTTTTTATTATTAGTAATAATATAAAAACTTAGAAGTGATAAAAAAAATCTAATTTCAGATTAAAATGTAACGTACAGATTATTCATCCTTCACCAACATTAGCATTTCAATACCACACTAGTGCCTGATCAGCACAAACGTCCCTACGACCTAAGTGTAATTTAGGGGATTCTGGTTCCCCCCCGCCTCACCCCTTCACCAACACATTCGTATTGTGGGCGTGGTCGGGGGGAGGGGCATGTCATACGATGGGCGTGGTTTCTCGATGGTGGGGGTAATGTCAAGGTCATATAGCGGGCGTGGTCTCTCAATGGAAGGGGGGGGTAACGAGAAGGCGTGGTCTTATCAATGAAGTGGTTATTACTACTATATTATAATGCTCATAGACGTCACAATTTTATGAGAACAATGACAATGTTTGTCGTTATGGCTTAAGTTATTATTTTGAATCCCTATTGTGGGCAGGTAAAGGGTTAGATTTATAAAAAAAAAAAAACCAAATGATTGATAAAGACATGCATCTAAATAAAAAAAAAATTATACTGATTTGGTCATTTTTGATAAAGTTTAACAGTTAACAAAGTTATAAGTTTTATACACTAAAATAAAAAAATAAAGGAAACATCGGGCTAAGCCAATCGAATTAATAATAATAATAAAACATAATTATCAAATAAAATAATTCATACAAATACGCAGTGCTGGTGCTACTCATATTAGCGCCCTGGGCGAAATTACCACTAGGCAAACAACATAATAAAAACATATTTATTTTAGGCAGCAAAACATTGTTTGTTTTTATACAATAATCTTAAAAAAATAACCAATTTAGTAATAACCATATTTGAAATTACGTTTGATTATATACCATCTTAACGTCTAAATTTCATGAACTAAATTTTCCAACTACCCATTTTAAAATTTTATTACTTACTAGATTTTTAGAAACACAATATAATTTAAAATTAAACACTATTTCAATAAATATATAATCATAATTTTATTATTGAATTAGGAATCGATTTATATTTTGTAATGTTGCATATTTATAAATTTTTTAGCTTCGATGCGAAGCTGAGAAGATATTGGTTTTACTAAGATGTGTTTTAGCTTCGATGCGAAGCTGAGAAGGTATTAATTTTACTATGATGAGTTTTTTTATTTTTTTTTTTGTGTCTGTGAACGCTCAATCTCAGCTCTCGCTGGACCGATTTTGATGAACAATATGTCAAAAGATCACAAATCGTATCTAGTCGAAGACATTACCCTCAAAAATTGAAAAAAATTCCCTCGTTCCCCGTAAACGGGGGAAATCCCCCAAAAAATTACAAATTTAAAAATCGCTAATTTTCGATATTTTTTCAATTTTTTTTACTTAAAATTGCCATAACTTTTT